GCTGCTGCTGGGGCTAGCACAGGGCGTAGCTTAGCTGGACAGGAAAGTATGCAACTTCCGCTGTTTGGAATTAGATGAGTGCTTGTGACTGCATCGATGATGGTCCAGGGGCGTCCAAATTGTGCACACCGCTCCATGGGGTGCAGAATGATATCCAGTCCATTTGGGACGAGATTCGGTGGAGCGTCCATGAGGTTGAGCATAATCGTCGGATTTCCTTGGTGCTGGAGAACGGCTAGGTGCTTGTACTCCATGCTGTCAAACTCAGTTAGCCAACTGTATATATATATTTTCAAGTCAATTATCGTCACACATGTCTCGATTGCGTTCCATGAAAAGAAGCAATTTCGTATTGCTTGCGGCATTTAGACAATGAGATTCTTTATCCGTTTGGTTGTTATAAGTGTCTCATTAAGAGTTTTTCACACTAAAATAGACCAGCATAATAACAGCATGATCGAAAAATGCAAAAATGCAAATTAAATTCGAAAACTGATAAGTATGAATTTCTGTTAAAATAGTAATTATTTTACCAATAGATGCAGCATCAAACTTGAATTTCAATTGTTTGTAATCATTGAATATCACCAATATATTAAAAAAAAAATTTTTTTTAACAATTTGTTGGTGATTTGATGTAATCTGAACTAGTAATTGTTTGCTTATGTGAATACAATAATAACTGCTAAGTATATATCAAGAATAGAAAACGGTTCGTTTACGATTTTACGATAAGATATTCCGAAATGACTAATAACATTTGACCGTTTTTTTGAATATAACATTCGACCGTCTGCTCCTCCGCTAAATTGAGAGAGAAAAATATTAAAACACCTTCCCCTTTTTTTTTTCATTTTAGTTAGTGTTAGGTTGAGCATTTTCTCTCGCTCAATTCATTGAAGTGATCTGTAACGGTGTTACTTTCATGCAAATAGTTGCTGTGCCTTGTTGTGGATATGACGTTTGTTAAAATGTTAATTGCATTTTAGTAATATATTCCACAACATTTGGCAACTGCAAAGAGCTTCTTGCTGACATTTGAAGAAATTGCATAAGCACGTTGTTAGTGGCTTGCAGCTTGTGGTTGGAGTTATACATAACTGGTATTAAGTTAGTGATAACAGTTGCATGATGATGGTAAAACGCAACAAAATGAAATCTGCACAACCACATAAATGCCTTAAAATTGATCACATATAGTGTTCTTATATCTGCTGAAAAGCGGGTGAGCGCGAGCAGGGATGGGTTTCAGCAGTGGTTGTCTCGTCCAGATACGAATCATCATGGAAATGATTTGTGGGAGACTTATCACACTGCATTATGAATTGAATACCAACAGTTAAATATTGTAGATCAAGTTTAACAGAGAATGGCAACGTTTTCAAGTTGTTGCTAAATCATTGAAGGATTTACAATTAATTTTCCTGTGATGCATTTTCGAAGAACTGTTGGTCCTTATGCTCTCTGAGGAAAGTAATACTAGAAAAGATTTTCTTATAAATAGGATATTTATAATTATACTTGGTGTAAATTTACTGGCTGTTCAAAGCATTTTCGGTTCGACTGGAAATTCGGTAAGTTTCTTATTTTGTTCAAGAAGTTATTACCGCATATTACGCTTGTATTTGCGTTTTGACTCATTCATCATAGAAGTACTAATATTATTACATTTTTACCTGAGAAGGCGACGATCGCAGATTCTACAGGGTCTGGCTACACGCTTCTATGTACGCTCGTATATGACAAATTATACCGTTGTCGTTTTCATTCATTTAAAATAGAATGACTGCTGTTTTTGTTACCTTTTCACCTGAGAAGGCGACGATTCGGCCGCAGGTTCGTCAGGGTCTGGCTACGCGTTTCTATGAGCGCTTGAATTTGGACACACGATATTATTTTTGTTTGTATGTATAATTTACATTTCGTTACCTTTTGCCTGAGCAGGCGACGATTCAGCCGCAGTTACATCAGGGTCTGGCTACACGTTTCTATGAGCGCTTGAATTTGGACAAACGATATCATGTTCGTTTCCATACATTATTTACATTTCGTTACCTTTTGCCTGGAAGTTGAATGCATGACGAAAATTTTTTTTGCTGTGCCGAGTATCGGTCAATTAGAGGTTCAAATCTATCGCGAAGCGCTTTGATAAGAGCCTCAGATGTTCCTTCCGTTAGCTTTGGTTGAGCACTTAGTACTTCTCTAGCGGTTCCACGTAATTTTAGTATTATTATGGCATTGAGTTGCGCATCAGTAATGTCAGGTTTGAATGAAGCTGCGGCTTCTATGCACATTAGAAAGTCTTCCAGCCCGTAACATTCGTCCTCTCCAGAGAAGTTATCAACTAAAGATAATAAAGATGGCGCTGATACCGACATGTTTAATTGTACTTAAGAACCAATTAAGTGGCTCACTGTAAAATTAAAAGATGTTAAATTAAGTACTGGTTACGTAATAGCAGAAAAGTAGTAAGATGTCAATTTTCCTGGAACATTAAAAATATCAAAATTAAAACAGTCTGTTTAGGTTTCAAGTTCAGTGTTTGAATGTCACGCGGCAAAATGGGTCAGATTATTTCCGACGCAGGGGGATCTCTGGGCGACAGAAAAAATAAGGTGCGTAGCTCGATTTCGGCTAGGGCTAAGAATAGACAGCCGTGCGGACGCCTGCGGCGCGCGGTGCGGCGCAGCGCGTTCCGCTCTATTTTATTTTTATCGAACTTTTCTAGCTAGGATATTGCACATTATGGAAAGATTGCACTTTGTTAATGCGCGTGGTGCACAAACTCATTGAAATTAAAGCTTTAGAACTAGAACTGTATGGAGATGCAATACCGTAAGAAAATTTAGAGGTCATGATTAAAAATTATTGTGACAAACAGTGGATTGACGTGCGATTCGCATATCCATTTTGAGCATGGCGTAAAGGTTGTATTATGTGCGCACTTTCACTAGCAAAGACATACGCGTGCGGGAAGGGCGCGCGGGGCTGAACAGGGCTGCGGCATGACTAGGTCACGCGCGCACGGGGGAGCAACAGGCACGCGCGGGTGCCGACAAGTAAGTTTAAATGATATTGATGGAAATGGATCGCTGTACTTACCTATTAGACAAACCTGTGATCTATGCTTCATGGAGGTCATATCAATGAGAGCACCGCTGCCCACCACTGTGGTTGTTGTATGTGGGATGAGGGTTGGTGTGGGTTCGTATGCTCCCTCATTGATTGACGTACACAAAGCACATTGATCAAGGTGTGTATTATCGGTGTCTCTTCGGATGTTACAATGTACACTATACACTACTGCGTCTACATCTTGACGCTAGCTCTGCTCCTCTCCACTACGACTTCTCCTGACTGACTCTCGACTCGGACTCTCGGCTACGACTGAGCTCCACTTTTACTCTCAGTCGGCGGCTGCCTCTAGGTGGCATCCCGCCAATAGGCTCGGCGGTCAAAGGTCTCCGCCTTTCCTTAAAAGTATCGTCAGTTGATCTCATACTAATAATATATACAGGAGGTGCGGGTGGGGTCCTACACGATATATGTCCTTCCCGCGGAGCGCCGCGCGGCCCGGAGCGGCACGGCGGCCCAGATCATTTCTCTTCGTCACGGGCGGCGCGGCGGCAGCGGCGGCGGCGGGCCGGAGGAGAAGGAGGAGGAAGGGTTTGTGCTGCGATTGCCAAAGTAGCCAGCTCGCATTTTGTAGCCACCTGTCCCGCGCTGGGGGTCCCCCCCGTGTCCGGCTGCGCGGCCGGCCGTGCCCCTTCACTTGGCCGCGCGTGTGCGTGGGCGCGCCCAGTGGGCCCGCTGCGCCTCACCCCGCCCAGCCCCGCCCCGCGCCGAGTGAAGGGACGGCCTGTCACGGCGCGGCTCCTTGACTTGGCTTTTAGTGCTGCGGCGCTGAATGGGTCCGCCATGCTCCCCCTCCCCCCCTTCCTCCGACTGGGTCGCGGGGGCCCGTCACCTGTCCGCGGGGAACACCGCGTCGCTCTGTCCCCACCCCCTTTCCCCTCCCCCGCGACCGGCCCGCCCGGTGTCAAGCGCAGCCGCGGCGGCGCGTTGCGTCTCTGTCCGCCGGCGTCCTTGTCTGCTCCAGGTCTATTTCATGTCTTCGGACGGCGCAGCAGAAATAAAAGCGTTGCGCCAGGTGTCATGAAAAGCATAACCGCGTCGGGGGGCGGTCGCTAAAGGTCGTTGTGGAGAGATAAGAGCGGGGACCGTCGCCGAGCGCCGGCTCCGTGTGGCGCCTTAGGGATCGTCCAGAAAGTACGTCCATTTTTCTCCGATTCATTCGGCAAACTTTCGGGTGCTTGGCGCCTGCGATATTTGAGGTAGGCCACCCCGCAGTACACGCATGCACTGCAGACAAGATGTTGCCTACCTATCAGGCGCTATGATAGCTCGCTTTGACCGAACTTGGCAGGTTTGCAACTCGAATGTTGTACGTTCTTCATGGATGGTCAATTACGGCACCGAGCGGGTAGGTGACCCGCACGCACGCGTGCCTCGCGGTACAGGGTACAGTATTGCCTCGAGCTCCGACGGCGCTTTCCAGCTGCGGGGCTGGCGGGACCCGGGGGACACTACCGGCCGCTGACAGTGCCGTCTCGGTTGTCTCGCGCCGTCTGGCAGGCGCCGGCGCCGACGTGGTCGCCGAGAGTTACGCGGATGTCCGGTCCATTTGGCGCGGAGGGCTGCAGAGGGACGGGCGGTGCAGTCGGCGCAGCCTCCCCTCGGGCCGTCTCGTCCGGAGCAGGCGTTCCGCGAACTGCTAGCCAACTCAACTCGACCAGTTCCGCTTGACATGGTTGCTGCGGCTCGTGCTGCAGGGCGTGGCGGGGCGTGGTGGGTCGCGGCCCCGCGGTCAAGTCTCCCGACTGACTGACCCCCCCGGGTGGACGGCCTGGCCTGGCTGGGCGGGTCTCGGGTGTCTGGGGGGAGAAACTGTTCCAAGCGAGTGTCTCTTTTGCTGATGCAGTCTCTGTTTTCTGTTGCAGGCGGGCAGCCTGAGTCGGAGTCAAGCGGCGTGGCGAGCGCGGACGTGCTGCGGCCGCACCCTCAAGCCCCGCTGGCGTCCTCCATGGCCTCCTCGTCGTCGTCGGCCTCGTCAGTGCGCCCCTCGGCCGCGAGCGCCCTGAGCGGGGGCGCGAGCGCTCACCGGAAGAGGCGCTCCGTGCCCCGCTCCTACGAGAGCCCCACCACGGCGCTCAACGGCGCGCGCTCGGCCATCAAGTCGGAGCGGCTGTCTCCCAGCGGCGGCGGCGGCGGCCTGGTGGGCGACAGCGCCTCCACCTCGTCGCTGTCGCGGAGCGGGACGCCCTCGTCGCCACCCGCGTCCTCCGTCGGCCACCCCGCGGGCACCAGCCCCGCCGCCAGCCCGTCCAGGACGGCGTCCAGCAACAATAACAACAGCACGCTGAACAACAACAACATCAGCAGCCACCTCAAAGCCATGGAGGACAGCGTCACGCACAACTACAGCGAGTTTATGCGGAACCTGGCCGCCAAGTACCAGTACGTGCACCCGGACGAGTAAGTGAAGACGGCGCTTTAGGCTTTAGGGGAGCGCGACACGCCTGCATGCTGCCGGGCAGAACCGGCCGCGGCAGAGAGAGAGATATACATAAATAAGGGAACGGGGCGAGTGGCGAGCAAAGTGGTAGTAGCAGCAAATTCCATCAGACTGTTTGTGGTAATTTTATTAACATCGGTAGCCAGTCGGCGGGACCGGACGGGCTGTCGGGCTGGCCGTTGGAAGTCCGTCCGTCTGGAGCCAGTCGCAGCAGCAGCCTCAGGTCGTAGGCACGCGCGTGAGGAGGCGGGGGGAGGAAGAGGGGGTGCTGTGGATGAAGAGTCTGTCGAAGCCGACGCGACGCTGACGCCTCGCAACTTGCGGCGCAAGTAGTGTCGGCGGTAGGGTAGCATCGACGTTTACCGGCGTTTACCGCGTGGCCTGTCGGAGCAGGTCCACGGCGGCTTTTAGCTTCTTCTTGTAGGGGCAAAGAATACGGGGCCGGGTCAGGCCGAGGTCCGTCTCACCGCGGACATGGGCCGCGTCCGGAGCGGAGGTTGTCTTCTCGTGTGTCGCCGAGGGAGGCGGTGCGAACGTGAGAGAGCGCGCTCGCGAAAAGGACGGTTTTTCGGACGAAGGCTCCGCGACGACGGCTGCAACGTCGTCCGAATGCCTTGAATGGCGGGGTACATGGTATGTGCCTGGGCGTGGCGTGGCGGGGCGTGGCGGGGCAATGAGGGTCAGTGCAGCGCGCGGGGCGTGGAGTGGCGGGGCGGGGCGGGACAGGGCTGTGCCAGGGTATCGCAGAACACGGGTTCGCTCTTACGATCGGCTGCTGCTGCCGGGCCCCTGACAACGCGCTGAAAAGGTGAAAAGCCGGAGGAGAGGGGGCTTTGGACCTGGCGCGGCGGAGGGGGGTTGGCGGGCAAGCAGGCGTGTCAGATGAGGCGGCAGCGGAGGCGGCTCGGGTCAGGGATCGGACCCTCGTTATCGCGGTGGCCGCGGGGCCCTTGGGGGCGGGCCGTCAACCAGCCGCGCCGAAAAGGTTTTGTCGTTAATTGGGTTGGTGTGTCTCTCTCTCTCTGCTCCGCGCCGCTAGGCTCGGGCCGCCGCCCCCGCACCGCCGCCGCCCTCTCGCCAATCAGGACGCGCAATGGAGCAGGAAGCTGCCCCCGCCCCGCCCCGCCCCGCCTCGCGGCCAGCGGCCACCAACCGGAGGGGCGGCCAGACATTTCAATCCGGAGTAATGACGTGCCGCTCCCGGCCCAGCGCAGCGCGGCGCCCGGCCGGCGATCAGCAGTCAACCGACTGGGGCGGGGCGGGGCGGGGCGGCCCACGCAAGGGGTGGGGCGGGCTTTGAAGTAGTTAGCAGACGACGTGTGTGCTGAGCGAGTGTTTGACGCCTTCTGTCCGCGTGTTTCAGGTTCTACAGTGCGACGCGGAACGGCTTCCCCGCGGCGCTCGACCCCCGCTTCCCCTACAAGGCTGGCGTCGGGGCGTCGCCCTTTCTGATGCCGCCGCTGGGGCCGCTGCCCGGCGTGCCCGTGCCTCCCGGTGTCGTCTCCCCCCTGCACCACCTGGCGGCGCCCGCCAGCGTCGGCGCCACGCCCGCCAAGGAGTCGGCGCCGTCGGCGTCCTCGTCCGGCGGCGCGGGCAGCGCGTCGCGCATCGCCAGCCTGGCGCTGGAGCGCCAGAGGGAGCGCGAGGCGCGCGAGCGGGAGCGCGAGGAGGGCAGCAACCACAGCGACGCGCCCCACAAGGCCAAGTCGCCGCCCTCCTCGGTAGCCAGCGCCACCTCGGCCGTGTCGGACGGCGCGCACTCCAGCCTGCTGTTCTCGCCGCTGTTCTCCGGGTCGCTGCCCGGCACCTTGCCCGGAGCGCTGCCCGGCGCCGTGCCCGTCATGGACATGAGCTCGACGCAGGCGCTCGTGAGCATGGTGCAGCGCTCGCACCAGAACCAGCTCGAGACGTACCTAAAGGGCGCGCACAAGCGGCCCGCCGAGGCGGCGCCCTCGCCGCTCAGCCCCCTGGACCTGTCGTCGGGCGCGGCGCCGCCCAAGAAGAGCCGCAAGCGCGACCTGGTGGGCGGCGACCTGTACGGCGTGGACTCGCTGCTCGGGCTGCCCAGCAGCCTGATCCGCAGCTCCAAGGAGCGGCTCGCCACCAGGACGCCGCCGTCGCGGGCGCTGTCCTCGCCGCGGCTGGCCGCCCCCGGGACGCCGCCCGCCGCCACCGCCGCCCCCGGCTCGCCCAGCCCGCTCACCTGCAGCGCGCTGTGCTCCACCACGGGCCACGCCTCCGCCGACTGCAGCGCTAGCGACGCGGCCAACATCGCGCACTGGAGCGTCGGCGACGTCTGCAACTTCGTGGGATCCATCGACCTGTGCGTCGAATACGTCCAGGTGAGTGCCGCATCCAGTCCACCAAACGGGTCGCATTCCTCGCTCGACCCGCGCCTCTGCAATTTGGGCCCCGCGGGGCGCCGCGCCGGGCCGCCTGGAGACCAACACCCTTGGCGGCGCGGCCAGGCCGGCGTGGGAACCTATTTGGAGCGCCCCTCCGCGGCGGTTATAGGAGTATTGGGGAATGACCGTAGTTGGTAGCGCCCCGCCGCGCCCTGCCTTGCCTTGCCCGCCCCACCCCGCCCCGCCCCGCCTTGTCCTATCGCGGGCCCCATCGCGTCCCCGCCGCCGCCGCCGCTCCCGACTTGGCCGGCTGCCGGCGCGCTGAGTGACTTGACATTAGCAGCGCGCCGGAAAATTTATGCCATTTACTTTTCCCTGGTCCCCGCTGCTGCTGCTGCTGCTGCTGCTGGTCCCTATCGATCCCCCCGCGCGCCGGCGCTGCGCGTTCTCGTTGCGTAAGCAGGTCCCACGGCTTTGGGAGGCGGGGCGCCGCGCTTTGGTAATAATTGAACAGCGAAGAAGAAGAAGGAATGAGAATGGGAAGAAGATGGAGGTGTCGGTGGCGGGGTGGCGGGGCGGGGCGGGTCAGCGGTCCCGTCGCGTGGCTGCCGCCTGCTGCCGCTGCGCGCCGCCGGCCCGCTGACTGACTGACTGGGTGTTGCCGTGCACTAATGTGCCGGCGGCGCTGTTACTGGTGTGTAATTAGCTAACCACGGTGCGCCGAGCGGTGCGGTCTGCAGCAGCGGGGTCAAACACTCCGACACGCAGCGACTGAGTGTCCGCTGGTCCATCCATCCACCCGGGGTCCTGGGCTCTGATTAGAGCGGGCCAGCGGGCTCGATGCAGCCGATACACTCGCACCTAGCGTGCCGGGGCCGCCGGGGGCCAGTGTCCTGGGAAACAGAAGCGACCCAACCCGACCAGTTATGTATGGAGTAGAGACATCAGCCGGGCGTGTTTTTCTCAGAATGCTAACGTGTTCTATTTGGCTCTGTTCTGTTCGGGGCGTATAATAGTGTGCGTTTGTCTCGTTAGGCGACCGGGCCGGGCTGGGGCTGGGCTGGGCTGCGCGCGGCTGGGCGCCGGGCGCGCTGCGGAGCTCTTTGATGGCTCCAGTTGGCTCCAGAGGCACTCCAGAGGCAGCTCTGGAATCCCCGCGGGGCGGCTCGGATTTTAGTGCCTCTTTGGGGCCAAAGCCTGGGTCGTTCGGACATGTCCATGCCAGCGGCGGCGCCGCCTGCCGGCCGCCTGTCGTCGTCCCGGACGCCCTTTTCTTACGCCGGCCGGCGCGTATCCGGTGAAGGGGTCCCAGCCCAGGAACATGCACGCGTGGGGCGCCGTGGGGCTCCGGGCTGCTAATCTACGGGGAGGTGCGGGGGGCGTGGCCAGCCCGTCTGCTGCACCAACCAGAAGGGGCCCCCGCCCGCGGAGCGCGCTGTTCAAATTAGGACCGATTTATATTGGGTCGCCTCTCCTCTCCCGGCTCAGCCGGAGAAATCGACGCTGGCACCTTCCGACTCGAGCCCGCAAGCCCCGGCCGCCGCCGCCCCGGCCCGGGATGGGGACCGCCGGCACTGAACTGGTTCCCGCCGCCGGACTGTAAGTGACGTTTCGATTTTCGAGTCCGCGCGCGGGCCCAACTCGAGATAATCGCACAAATAAATTGGGCTCGTGCCGGGCTGGGGCTGGGCGCGCTGATTATAATTCAGACCGGGTGGAAAATGGCCGCACATTTGGCCCCGGCAGCCACACGTCGATATCTCGACTGCGGGATCGATCGCGAGGAGGCAAGGCGTTGATGGGGAAAGGCGAAGGCGCGACCGCGGTGGTGTTTCCGCCCCCTGGTTTATCGATTTGGCACCTGATTCGTCCCTTTCACCGAGTGGGTGGCGATGGCGGCCGCCGCCGCTGGGCCCGCCCCTCACCCGCCCGCTGCTGGTCAGTCGGCGGGAAATAATGCTCGTTCTGGTGTGTAGATCTGCGTGCGGATCTGGCTGGTCGTCGGGGATGACCCAGACCCGGCCGTTCAGTAACGACCGCCCTCTGTCAGCTGTCGGGCGGCCGGGCACGGTAGCTGCTCTGGCCGGGGCATCTTGTCCAACAAGTGAACGCATTCCGCTTCGTCTCTGTCTGCTGCAGGACGGCGCGACTCCTCCCGTGGAAAGAGTGAGAGAGAGAAAGACACTCTTGGGCGCTTCTGTCTCCCTCTATTTCACAGTGGACTGCCTTGTTCTCGACGAATATATATATATATAACTTTGCGGATTACGGATTTGCGGACGAGAAAATGTTTCACTTTTGCCGGGCGGGGCCGGGCCGCGCTTGCCGCTCGACACGCGTGTGGCGCGGGACGGTTGTGCCCGGCTGTGCGCGGCTGTGCGCGGCTGTGCGGCGGCTGTGCTGTGCCGTGCCGGTGGTGAGGCGCTGTTCTGTTCTGCTGTGCTGCTGCCGCGGCCGTGTCCTTCTGGAGCGGCGCCAGCTCCCTGTCGAACCGCAAATCGGAAATAGGAATGCATAAATTATGGCGGGTGAGGAATGCACGCTCGAAACGCTACCCCGCCACGCTCCGCCGCGCCCCGCCACGCTCGGCCACCACACCGCGCACGCTGCTAATGTGTGTGTGTGTGTGTGTGCGTGTGTGTGTTGGCGTGCATGTGTGATGCCCCGTGCGCGCATCGAGATGCCTCTCCTCACAACTGGCGTGGACACGCGGAAGCTCCCCCTTGGCAGCTGCTTGCTTGCTGATACTCACCTCCCTCACCCTCCCCATGTTTTGCATTGTGCGTGTGTGTGCGTTTATTTTGATTTTATTTCGTATATTATGTATTTTATTGTGCGCCGTGTGGCGCAGGGCGGCCATTGTCACTCGATATGCCCCTCATTACCCACCCTGGAGCGGACTCAACTGGACCCTGGACCTTTGTGGCCGCCTTTTGACTTGCGCCACCACCTCCACAACCAGCACCTACACCACCACCACCTGCACAACCACAACCACCACCTGCTATTCACCGGGACATCGTTTTTGCGTGCACACACACACACGCACACACATGCGTGCGGAAGACGCCGCCGCCGCTCCCCTTGCTCTTTTCTCTTCGTCTTATCCTTGGTCATCTCCTTCACCCTCTTCTCCCTCTCACTCGCTCTCTCTCTCCCTCCCCCGCCGTTGTTTCGTACCGCTAAGCCCCTCGTTGCAACCGGAGCAAACGCAGCGCGCGGCCACACCTTCACTCGCACGCCACGCCACAAGCAGAGATCCGCTATCGGCGGTGCGTTCAGGCGAGGGCTCGGCCAGCAAGGTGGCCTGCTGCAGCGGGCGCGGTGCAGCGCAGCGCAGGTGGGCGGGCTGGCTGATAAAAATTCGCATCCATATATATTGCGATGCGCTCCAAAATCAAAATTAGCTAAATTCCAGAACCTAGCATCTTTCTCTGCTTTGCCCTTCATCGCCATGCACCGCCACTCCCAAACTGCATTCGCTATGCGCGCGAGGTGTGCCTCGGAGGCAAGGCAGCAATTACACAAGCTAGGGATTCTATGTATCGAGATGATGTCGGCCGGGCTGGCCGCAGCTCATCTGATGCCTACCCGCCCCGCCACTCCCCGCCACGCCCCGCCACGCCACGCCCTGCCAGGCCGCGAGGCCGCGAAAGGCAAGGACATCATTCCTTGTGCATCTCCGCGAGGGACGGGCGGGGCGCGGGGCGAAGAGCAGGGGCCGGGTCAGGATGGCGGTAGAAAACTGGTCCGATTGCTACACTGTTTACCACTGCCGAAGTGACGCTGCTCGCTGCAGGGGAAGAAGAAGATCATCTGCGCTTCACTTGAGATATTTTTCTGTGGCTTATTCGAAAAAGTTATCACTTGTAATTTTCTGTAACGTGGCCAAAACCCACTTTAAGTTTATGTACGCTATTGTGGCCTTACGAAAAAATCGTCTTTGATTCTGTGAACTAATTTTCGAACTATCATTTAGGGCTACTTTTCATAACATCTGTCTGTGCAGCCTTTCAGAGAAATTTTCGTCGCAAAACAAGTGTATGTTTTTGGGGGGGAAGAGGGGGGGGGGTGGCGGCTGGCGGTCCGCAGGCGTTTGTGACACTCGCCGTCGCGCTACCGACGCTAGTGGAATTAATGCGTTTTGTTTCAATTTGAAAGCCATATAACGACGCGAGAC